GTGTCCAGAGGAGGGCAACCAAAATGGTCAAAGGCCTGGAAACGATGCCTTATGAGGAACGGCTAAGGGAGCTGGGCATGTTTAGCCTGGAGAAGAGGAGGTTAAGGGGTGATATGATAGCCATGTTCAAATATATAAAAGGTTGTCACATAGAGGAGGGAGAAAGGTTGTTTTCTGCTGCTCCAGAGAAGCGGACCCGGAGCAATGGATCCAAACTACAAGAAAGAAGATTCCACTTAAACATTAGGAAGAACTTCCTGACAGTAAGAGCTGTTCGACAGTGGAATTTGCTGCCAAGGAGTGTGGTGGAGTCTCCTTCTTTGGAGGTCTTTAAGCAGAGGCTTGACAACCATATGTCAGGAGTGCTCTGATGGTGTTTCCTGCTTGGCAGGGGGTTGGACTCGATGGCCCTTGTGGTCTCTTCCAACTCTATGATTCTATGATTCTATGACTTCTTCATTGGTATGGAGTGACCTCAGTTCCAGCTAATGGGTTGGGAGAGACCTCATCAAAGCTAGTTGCATTTTCATTGCAAATCATTACTCAAATCAATTCAGCTATGTGTGTGTGTGTGTGTGTGTGTGTGTGTGAGAGAGAGAGAGAGAGAGAGAGAGAGAGAGAGAGAGATGGAATAAAAGAATGACGGAGAACAGAAACAATTGTGTAACATTTCATGGAACTTTTAGTTGAATCTAAATTATTAGACTGGAAAAACTATGTGTTATTTTTCTCCCCCTTGAATTTATGCATAGTTAAACAGCCTTTCAGATATTGGGGGGGGGGGCTTTCTTTCTTTTTGCTTCATCTAACGTTCCCATCAGAATCCTTTGAAAATGCAGCCTTGATAAAACTAAAGGAAAAAAGCAGGGAGGGAACCTCACAATTCCGTACAAATAGTTGCAAGCTGTGTGACGCCTGCTTTTTATCTGCATGGTGCCTGAAGATCAGAAGATTACTCCTAATTAGTGAATAAGTTAAATCATAAAATATACTGCACCGAAGGTTCGCACTGCCTTAATTGTACACCTGAAAACTTCCATGTTTTTTCAAGTACTTTCATATTAGAAGTTGAATGTTTTTATGTATCTTCAGTGTAGATCACCTTGAGATGGTTGTTTAGAAGGCAATGAATAAATCAACGAGGAGGAAGGGAAAAGGAAAACAGTAAATGTATTTGTGAAAAGCACTCTACTTTTGGATCATCCCACCCGACTACTGCTTTTACATATAGATTGTGCAAGATCTCTCTCATGACACAGGAGAAGCAGAGGGCAAGATAGCAGACCCTCCAAGTGTCCCTATTTTCCAGGGATGTCCCTGATTTAGAGAAGCCATCATGGTTTCTGATTTGATCATGGAATGTCCCACTTTTCCTTGTTGTTGTTGTTTAGTCGTCTAGTCCTATCCGACTCTTCGTGACCCCATGGACCAGAGCACGCCAGGCCCTCCTGTCTTCCACTGCCTCCTGCAGTTTGGTCAAACTCATGCTGGTAGCTTCGAGAACACTGTCCAACCATCTCGTCCTCTGTCATCCCCTTCTCCTTGTGCCCTCCATCTTTCCCAACATCAGGGTCTTTTCCAGGGAGTCTTCTCTTCTCATGAGGTGGCCAAAGTATTGGAGCCTCAGCTTCAGGTTCTGTCCTTCCAGTGAGCACTCAGGGCTGATTTCCTTAAGAATGGATAGATTTGATTTTCTTGCAGTCCATGGGACTCTCAAGAGTTTCCTCCAGTACCATAATTCAAAAGCATCAATTCTTCGGCAGTTCTTCCTCTTCATGGATCACTGCCTTGCGGTGGCGAACGGGCTTGAATAACTCAGAGAAGCTATGAGCTATGCCGTGCAGGGCCACCCAAGATGGACAGGTCATAGTGGAGAGTTTTGACCAAACATGATCCACCTGGAGCAGGAACTGGCAAGCCACTCCAGTATCCCTGCCAAGAAAACTCCATGGACAAAGACAACAGGCAGTTTTCCTTAGAATGCCCCTATTTTCCTTGGAGAAATGTTGGAGGGTATGGTACGATGTCTCTATTTTCCTTGGAGAAGTGTTGGAGGGCATGGAGTTATCCAACCCCTGAGCCAATTGAAGGCAATCCGATATAGGAAAGTGGCTTTAAAAAAAATGTTTAGTGTTTTATTATGCTTTTTTATATGTTGGAAGCTGCCCAGAGTCCTGGGGCAACCCAATAAGACCTGTGCGGTATAAATAGTAAAATTATCGTTATGGAATGGGACGTTCCTATTTTCATCAGAGAAATGTTGGAGGGTATGTTAGTTCACTCTCCCAGAAGCTACGTCATAGTCAAAGGGCTCATGAACTCCCTCCCTGCAGTGTGTAAACAGTCAGAGAGCTCTGAGGTGCCCTGTTAAGTGTAATGGTTTAATTCACACAGAAATGAAAACATGGTTGCTGCACTGCCTCACTGATGGCTCGAATGCAGAGGTGAGCATGCCAAAAAGAGGGTGCCACGGCAACAGCTGGTCTAGGTGGATGGGCCTATACTCATGGCTTCAGCATAAAAGGTTGGGCAGCAGGCCCCACAGGGAATGGAGAATAGGTTCAGAACACTACAGTGGCTGCGTCTGCTTGAAGCAAATGAGAGAAGGAGAAGAAGAAGAGGAGGAGGAGGAGGAGGAGGAGGAGGAGGAGGAGGAGGAGTTTGGATTTGATATCCCGCTTTATCACTACCCGAAGGAGTCTCAAAGCGGCTAACATTCTCCTTTCCCTTCCTCCCCCACAACAAACACTCTGTGAGGTGAGTGAGGCTGAGAGACTTCAGAGAAGTGTGACTAGCCCAAGGTCACCCAGCAGCTGCATGTGGAGGAGCAGGGAATCAAACCCGGTTCACCAGATTACGAGTCTACCGCTCTTCATCACTACACCATGCTGGCTCTCAGAAGGAAGAGGTGCAGCAAGAGAGAGACAGCACGTTAGGGAGACCAGTGCGGAAAAAGTCACATGAGAGAAGCTCAGAAAGGAAAACTGTTAGGTACCCTTCAGCCTTACCCTGAGGGAACCAAGTTCAGTGGTACCTTGGTTCTTGAACTTAATCCATTCTGGGAGTCTGTTCAATTCCCGAAACTGTTCACAAACCAAGGCGCAACTTCCTATGGGCTGCAGGAGCTTCCTGCACTCAAGCGGAAGCCGCGCCGGACGTTCCGCTTCCAAAAAACATTCCCAAACTGGAACACTTACTTCTGGGTTACCGGCGTTCAGGAGCCAAAACGTGCGAGTACCAAGGCATTTGAGAACCAAGGTAAAATGTGCATGGATAACAAAGATACATATATGTGTCTCTGTTTTCAATTCATAGAGTCGGTTACATTCGATCTGAGACACCGCTGTCATAGGCATTGTAAGGTTGGGGGGAGAGAGAAGTGGGGAGAAGTGAGGGCCTTTACTTTCTAGCTTCATAGCAGGGGACTATAGGGGGCGTAGAACCTGGCTTGAATCTCCCTAACCAACAGTTAGGGTTGCATGCACATATCCCTTTTTAAATTCCCATCAGTCGACGAGATGTGGATTCAGATTTCCCCATTCCTTGAACTACATTCATATCAATGAATGTCACTGGGAAAGATGGAGGAAGCAAAGGGCTGTATCCAGAGCTTTTTTTCCAGCCAGAACTGGCTGGAATTCAGTTCTCTCACGTGGGTGCCATTGCCATTGCCCCTGAAGGACCAGGTGCGCAGCCTGGGAGTCATTCTGGACTCACAGCTGTCCATGGAGGCACAGGTCAATTCTGTGTCCAGGGCAGCTGTTTATCAGCTCCATCTGGTATGCAGGATGAGACCCTACCTGCCCGCGGACTGTCTTGACAGAGTGGTGCATGCTCTGGTTATCTCTCGCTTGGACTACTGCAATGCGCTCTATTTGGGGCTACGTTTGAAGGTGACCCGGAAACTACAACTAATCCAGAATGTGGCAGCTGGACTGGTGACTGGGAGTGGCTGCCGAGACCATATAACACCGGTCTTGAAAGACCTACACTGGCTCCCAGTACGTTTCTGAGCACAATTCAGTGTTGTTGCTGACCTTTAAAGCCCTAAACGGCCTCGGTCCAGTATACCTGAAGGAGCGTTTCCACCTCCATCGTTCTGCCCGGACACAGGTCCAGCACCGAGGGCCTTCTGGCAGTTCTCTCACTGCGAGAAGCCAAGTTACAGGGAACCAGGCAGAGGGCCTTCTCGGTAGTGGCACCCGCCCTGTGGAACCCCCTCCCACCTGTTGTCAAAGAGAAAAATAATTACCAAACTTTTAGAAGACATCTAAAGGCAGCCCTGTTTAGGGAAGCTTTTAATGTTTAATAGGTTATTGTATTTTAGTGTTTTGTTGGAAGCCGCCCAGAGTGGCTGGGGGGACCCAGCCAGATGGGCGGGGTATAAATAATTATTATTATTATTATTATTATTATTATTATTATTATTATTATTATTATTACAAGAGAACAAGAGGGTGCTCCTGGTGAGTTTTGGCACCTCTTTTCCTCGGAAAATAGCACTAACTGTATCCAAAGTAAGCTAAGTAACTGCTTGTGCAAGTAGAATTTCTTCTGTCCTCCTTCCCCCCTGCACTCTATAAAACTGTTCTGGGGGTTCCTCAACCCCCCAAAAGAAATTTGGAGATGGTGCGGGGGAAGGAGGAGAAAAAATCCACCCAACCACCAGCGAAATTCAGCAATCTCATATGAGAACAAGTTCCATTGAACTCAGTGAGGCTTACCTATGAGTAAGATTGCCTTGCTTAGGGAGTCATTTGCTATTCTACGTTTTATAATGAAGCTACATGAGTTGAGCTCTGCAAAGAAACTAACAAGCATCTAAATGAAGGCAAGGTGATTCATAAAGACTCAGTCAGGTCGCAAGTACAAAATAGATTCCTGAGTGTTTTTATAGCTGGTTGAAATTATGCAAGTTTATTCTGTAAGCAAAGTGATTATTTGTCTCCAGGATGTTACAGCCTGATCTGGAGAAAAAGGGAAAGGTAAACAACTCCCACCTGTTTTGCCACAGAAATTGTCTCTTACGGATAACTTCCACTCCCTGCCCTGAAAAAAGAACAACAATCTTCCTTACTGAACGCTTAATGTGAATGAAAGGATTAAATAATAATCACCAGGGGAAAAACTAATCTATCAAATCATTAGCAGGAAGGTGAAGCGACTAACCTATAAGCAAAGTAAAATAATGAAAGGTAAACACAAGCTGGGAAAAAAAAGATGGTTTAACATTGAGAGAAACTTTTTGAGAAATGTTTCACAGAAGAAGCATCCCACTTTCATTCTTTTTTGGGCGTAGGGAAGACTGCAAAATTGATCAAATGTACTTGCCCATTTAGAGTGAGGGCAGGGAGCATTATCTTATAAACTGGCTTTGCAAAATTGTCAGAAGGTTGACTCTGATTGGCTACATAGCACAGTGTCATCATCAAACTCTGTGATCCCTGGTTGGCTGGGATCTCGTTCACCCAGAAAGAGAAGCCATGGTTTCATTGAAAAGCCAGTTAACAGCCAGCAAAAAAGACAAGCACATTTTTCTCACTGAAAATGTTCTATGGCAGCCTAGGAGAAAATGTATCTGAATAGAAAAAAGATAATCAGTTTGTAACAAGCAACTGATAGATCTAATGGCTAGTTGGTTTATAACAAGCTTGTGATGTGGTTTTTGTAAAAGAGCTGGTAGAAAAATGATACATGCTCTCCCCACCCACCCACACATATGCATCTATACAAACTCCGTGTGGCTATACCTACATAAAATGTCCAGGAATGCTGGGAGTTGTAGTTGAGCAATGTCTGAAGGCAGAAATATTCCCTACACCTGCCCTATTGTCAGGGACTGTAAAGCAGGAACTGTAAAGGAAGTGGTGCTGTTGACGAATTAGGAGGTGGGAGAAAGGGGGTTGGAGATTTCCTCGGGACAATGTCATTATTTAGAGATTCAGGTGGCTAGCCGTGTTGATCTGTCACAGTCGTAATAAATAACAAGATGAAAGATGAAAAAATATTTTTAAATAATTCCAGTGGCACCTTTAAGATCAGCTAAATATAAGCTTTCAAGGTATGAGCTTTTGTGTGTAATACACACTTTGTCAGATACTCTGAAGGAGAGGTCGCTTCCACCTTATAACTGTTGATGACTGTTATGGCAGTTGGTTCCACAGGGAAGGGCAAGGGATTTTTAAAGGGATAGAGTACCAAAATTAGCTTTAGTATGTATAATGGGACATGAATCCAATATCTCTATTCAGACCAGGTCTCTCCATAGTTTTTAGTTTTAAGAATTTTAGTTTTAATAAATACCAAACTAAAAACTAAAAACTTCAGAGTATCTGATGAAGTGTGTATTACACACGAAAGCTCATGCCTTGAAAGCTTATATTTAGTGGATCTTAAAGGTGCCACTGGAATTATTTAAAAATATTTTTTCATCTTTCATCTTGTTATTTATTATGATTACTCAGAGAGGCTCTATTCCCAAGCCTCTCTCTGTGAATATTTAAGAAAAGCAGATGGTAAGGACTTTTCCTTGTCTTGTCCATTCCTCGCAACCTGCCGTGGGGGTTGGTTTCTCAACCGCCTGACACCTATATGGATCAGGACAACTATAATTTTATAGTGCAGATACTGGTAATAAGAACATAAGGCAAGACTGCTGGATGAAGCCAATGAACAGTAGCCGTTGGTGGCCTTCTGCTCCATGGTTTTGTCTAATCCACTTTGAAAAATCTGCTTTGAAAGCCATCCCTTTTGGTAACTATCACTGATTCCTTCCTTCCATAGTTTAACCATACAGTGCCTGAAGAAGTATTTCCTTTTATCTATCCTGTGACATAGCCATTCATGTTACACAGGAGACCTAACAAAGAAGGGGAAACCTGAGAGTAATTTAGTAATTTGTTTCTCTCTCAGCAAGGACAAAAGGTAAACCTTACAGGCCTCACACTTACAGCATTCGCCCTCAGAGGACAAATTGGGAAACCAGAGTGATAAATGTAGACGTTCACCTCTTGAAACACCCCACATTTCTCTCACTGCAAAGGAAACGTGCCAACGGTAAGGAAACAAGAGCCTTTAAAAAAAAAAAATCTGTATAGTAATCCCCTGTGAAAATTAACTAATAAAAAGGGACATTTGCAAAGTCTGAAGCTCATTTCACATATTCTTTCATTTCTTCCTTGTTTTTAATGGCATGTCAGAAGTAAATTAAATTTACATTTGTGGAAGCCCAGGGGTTCCTCACAGTCAAAGGAAAGCAAATGAGTACTTGATAACCTCGCTTACTTACTGAATGGCAGGCGACTGTGAAACACATTAGCCAGCTGCCATGATGGCTATTCCCTCCAGAAAGAATGTGCATCAGATTCTGTATAGATAGATATGCAAGGAGGTATTGTCTTCAAGATAATCATGCTTACGGACATAAAATCATCACCAATTTTTGCAGATTCATGAGGGGAACACAAACGTAGTATTCTGAGTGTTTAGATGGCTGAATTCTTGCTACTGGGCCAGTTTGAACTGTCATAGTGTGACAGTGCAGGGTTGCTGAGTGCAGCGATGGCCAGAATAAATAGATGGCCAGTGGACCTGAGTGAAGCCTGCTGCCCTCAGGTCCGCTCCCCAAGCCATGCCCCCTAGGCCGCCACAGATTGGCCAGTTTGAATGAGCTGGCCTGGCGGGAACCCATGAGCCTCTGCAGCAGCTGAGGAGACGCGACAATGGCCTGGGAAATGGTATAGCACAGTGGGGCATTGTGGAAGAGGAGGAAGAGGAGGAGGAGGAGGAGGAATTTGGATTTGATATCCCACTTTATCACTACCCTAAGGAGTCTCAAAGCAGCTAACAATCTCCTTTCCCTTCCTCCCCCACAACAAACACTCTGTGAGGTGAGTGAGGCTGAGAGACTTCAGAGAAGTGTGACTAGCCCAAGGTTACCCAGCAGTTGCATGTGGAGGAGCAGGGAAGCGAACCCAGTTCACCAGATTACAAGTCCACTGCTCTTAACCACTACACCACACTGGCATTGTGGAGTCCAGTAAGTGGCCACTGCAGTCTTTTCATTACAAGTGCAAGTATTATGTGCCAGCAAACATAACTAGCAGTTCCAATGAATGCTTTTCTCTCTCTTTTTGTTTTTCTGTATTTTTTAAAATTTAAATTTAATTACTTTTTTTACTAAGGTCTTTCAACGCACAGCAACACCATACAGGTAAATAACGAAATAGCCCACCCCATCCAAGAAACTGGTGTTTAGGCAATAACTGTCAAAGAGCATATGTTCTTATCCCAAATATTTCTTTTTTCTTTTAAAAAGTTTGTATTGAAGATTTTCTTGTGTTGCAAAACAAAGTACATATAGCGCCTCCACTTTCAATTTATCAAGTCTTTTTTCACAGTATCTGTTAATGTTCAGTATGAGACATTTAATGTCATGGACATCTTACGGTTGGGGAAAAAGTAGGGGGAAAGAAAGAGGGGGAAGAGATGGGGTATTGTTCTATTGTTCTATTGCAAAGTGTTAGTGTGGCGGTTTGTTTCAGCATCACGTGGGTAAGCCCTTTATTTATATATTTACCGTATTTTTCGCTCTATAAGACACAGCAAACCACAAAACGCACCTAGTTTTTGGAGGAGGAAAACAAGAAAAAAAATATTCTGAATCTCAGAAGCCAGAACAGCAAGAGGGATCGCTGCGCAGTGAAAGCAGCAATCCCTCTTGCTGTTCTGGCTTCTGTGATAGCTGCGCAGCCTGCATTCGCTACATAAGACACACACACATTTCCCCTTACTTTTTAGGAGGGAAAAAGTGAGTCTTATAGAGCAAAAAATACGGTACTTATCTTGATTGGCATTTGCGAGGGGTCGGAGGATCCAGTGCTCTGTGGGTTGTGTTCGGCTGGTTGCAGTGTGTCTTGTGTGTGTGTGCGTGCACGCGCGTGCAGGGGGTGTTGTTGTTGGGCCAGGTTAGCCGTATTTCCCAAACATTTCCAATATTGCACGTACTTCCGTGTCAAAGCAGGGAATTAAAAATAGACCAAACATGACACTTCTATTTTGCACACCTCATTATGCAAAACTGGAGTGGGTGCTGTAAGATAGGTTCCGCTTCCAAAGATGGGTGTAACTGGGAACGTTTCACGCTGCAGTAATTGGCTAGCCGTGGACCGTGCCAGAAATGGCAGTGGGTAGGATCAGAGATACTTCCCTCTCTTTGTTGCCACCTCTCCTTTCCCTGCAAGAAATGGTACCGGCCAGGTTCATCCATCCAACAGTGCTAGATTTAGGGCAGTGTGGGCAGTTCTCCCTCACAGGGTGTCAAGCCAAGGGGGTGCAAATTAATTGAGAAGATCCATCACTGAGAAGATTCCTTCCAAATTTTGACTCAGGGTGACATACAGTGGTACCTCTGGTTGTGAACGGGATCTGTTCCAGAGGCCCGTTCGCAACCTGAAAAGAATGCAACCCATGTCTGTGCACACGCTGGTCGCGATTCACTGCTTCTGTGCATGCGTGTGACGTCATTTTGCACGTCTGCGCATTCACGAGCGGCGAAACCCGGAAGTAACCCATTCCGGTACTTCCTGGTCGCCGCGGGATGCAACCTGAAAACGCTCAACCTGAAGCAAACATAACATGAGGTATGACTGTACTACCAAAGATTACCAAAGTTTGTATAACCCATCGCCTCTGCTATCCCAGTCCTCCATTCTGACACTTGCTCCCTCTTCCTCTCCTAACAGGTGAGAATATGTGGAAGGAGTCATTCTTCATTTCTCAGCTGGGAAAGGAATAATTTAATAAACAGGAGGGTTAAAGAAATAAAGCTGGGGTAATAGGGATCTGATGGATTATCATTGATTATTGTTTTCTCTTCTAGGGTGGTTAGTTTTGTGAGCGTTCTTGTTCATTGAGTCAAATTAATTTTTCTCTCTGTCCTTTTTCAAAATCGAAGATGAATCTCATTCTTTTATTTGCTTCCCACCTTGTACAGCGTAACATCCTACTTGTCTTATGGGGAAGTGCTGTAGCCTCTTCCGTTTTGACAAAGTGATAATCTTGGCAAGCTTCGAGTTTCAAGCGGCTGATGCAGAAAGCTCAATTTGAACCTTGTTCTTCATCTCCTCCCAATGTGCAAGGATGGAAATCTTTCATTTTCTGAAAAGTATGCTTCATTCCCACCAGGTCCCTGAGGGGCTATTTTACTGACACTTGCCTTACAGTAAAAAACGTAACTTTTTCCTTGGCAATTTAAACAGGTGCCAATGGCAGTATATATCTTAGGAGACGGCTCACAATGTTGGTTCAGTCTCTTTCAACAGGGCGTCATAGTGAATGATGTGCCAGGGCTCCTAGTCATTTAAAGACCTGTGGATGTCATCCACTTGAGAGATACCATCCAGCAGATGTTAGTCACAACTGAAACTGACTGAAATTGACAGCACTGAGTTACCAGAACTTAGAACTAAGTCCTCTGCCATTGCTTTCAGCGAGACTCACATTGCAATCCTAACCCCATCTACTCAGAAGTGAGTCCTATTGAATTCAATGGGGCTTAATCTCAGATACATGGGATCAGGGTTCCAGCCAAGACATCCCACTCACAACGCCATGTGACATTGTGAAGTCGCCGCTGGTTATTGAGGGTGCTGAGCCCCCTCTTTGAAAACTTGGGGGGGGGACCAAAGTGCCTTCACCCCCACGACCTGACGCAACCGCTCCACATAGCACACATGGAGAATGAAGAAGCCTAGAAAACCCAAAATAAATAGACGTGTTGAATTTTTCAGTTTTCAAATTCCAAATATGAGGGGTGCTAAAAAGTTGTAACATCACTGGGAAATTGAAAAGGTAGTTTGGTTAACTGAATATAATTTGGTTTTGCTTGGTGAGTGTGCAAAATGTGTGTAAAATTGCGTAGAATTAATTAAAAATGATTGTCAAGTACTTGCAGTTATATATTAATATTTATCATCATCATCATCATCATCATCATCATTATTTAGGATTATCTGACATTTTCAGAAGGTAGAATTAAAATCCTTTGGTTCTTCATCAGACGTAGACTTACCAAGCTAAATGTTCTCCAATCACAAAAATAATAGCAGATTTGAGTCCCTGACACCCAAAATTATATTTTTAAGACCCCTCAGTGAAGACATCTGCAAAAAATAAGCTTCACCCCTAAAATGGCACCCCCAGTTTATCCCACCAAGGTGTCTAATGTGTCACAGAACAGTAAACCCTGCTTGAAATTCTACGCCCGCACTGATTGAATTAGGCTGGAACGATATCAGTTTTTATTAAACCCGCCCACCCCTGCTGTTGTCTTCTGACTTCAGCAGTCTCCCCAAAACATCACCGCACTATGCTCCATGTGAACGTTTAATATAACCCAGCGGTGGGCAGCCTTTCATTTTTCTGCTCTTCTCGTTTCCTTCCTGCTCTGCCTTCGGTGGCGTGATGCAGATTGATTTGCCCTGCTCCTCTGGCCAGTCCCTTGCTCCCCATTTGCCTGTTGACAGGTTTTTATGAAGGACAGTAAGTGCACAGTTGCCAGCCTCTTTTATGAGTTCATCTGTAACGCCGCGCCATGTGTGCCCTCCCTGTTGTGAGCTTGTTTACTGCAGTTTCAGACTCTGCCAGGGAAAAAAAGGTGAAGGTTATTTTATGGTTGTGCAGATGATTGCCTCACACTTGGTACTGTCTATAATGTCCCTTGATCCCCCTTATAGCTTTCTGAAATATTCTTATCCTGTGGTTCTTGATGTCTTCCTGTGCTGTTAGCACTTAGCCATCTGCCGCTTTTTTTTTTTTTTTTTTTACTTCTGCAGTAGGGAATGAGCCATCCTGCAAGTTTCATTTAAGCCTTTTCCATTCATGTGCTTTCTCCACTTCTGTTTTTTGGGGGGAAAGTGGGGGTGAAGAGGTTCACACTCTTAGGACAACACCATCTCCTAACCAAGGAGGCTGGTCCATTATGGCAGATGGTGCACTGCCCCACCGACCCCACTCTGCCTTCAGCCAAACCCTACCTGTATACTTTGTGATCTACAACTAGCTCAAGAGGTGGCAGTGGCTGTTAGTTCCCTCTTTCTCAGTCCCTGAAAAACTCAACAGGGAGGATGGTTCCATCTACTGTTGGCCTCTCAACCTACTGCCCTACCAGTCACAATGGGCACCAGCTGCCACTGTCTACTAATGAAGACAAAGAAGAACTATTAAGCAGAAACTTCGCTCAAGCCACCCAGTAGACCATAAACAAGGTGAGAAAGAAACATCTTCATATGCAGTGACAAAGTAGCTCAAGTCAACATTATGAAAACATAATTTTAAGGTATTAGAAAAGGATGCTTGATTTTTTTTAGTGGGGGGAGAGAATGGGAGTGTAAAGACAATTGAGTTGATGAAAAGGAAGAGCAGTCCAACTTTACCAGTGACTAATTTGACGTATTATCTCTTGATCATGTTTTTACCCTGACATTCCTTGAAGGTGCTAAGGGCAGTATACACAGAATTCTTCTTATAAATTGAGATAGAGAACAAGGATATGCTTCATGGAGGGTACAGACACTGACCAGAAAATGTGTGTATTGGCTGAAGAATGTACAAAATGCAGTCAAGATATGCACATTCCCCAAGGCCATTGGAGATCATGCATAATGGCTGGAGGACATATAACACAGAGTCCAGATATGCACATAGGCCTGTTGGGGATTGTGCAAATGCACAAAAATGCAGTCAGTACATGAACA